TTTTTCAATGTGTTATGGTGAATAAATAAATAAATATATTTTTTTTTATTTTGGAACATCCAATTTTTATTTTTCCTTGATTTCTCCAACTTCAGTGAACTCAAAGAAACCAACTTTATATTTTTTTTTTCCAATTTTTATGTTATTTTCTATAATTATTTGAGCTCATAATTATGGATTTTCAATGAAAATTAATTTAATTGATCAAAATATGTTTTCTATCCTTAGAAAACTTTATGGTTTTCCTAAGAATCAAAAGACCAATTAGAGTGATTTTCATGATTTTTTGAAATGTATTTTACTTTTATGATTTCTATTTTTTTAATGAATAAATAAATGAAACTGCATTTTTATTTTGAAAAATCTAATATTTATTTATTTTTTTCTCCTCTGACTTCAGTGAACTCAGAGAACTTAATTTTATATTTTTCAGATTTTTATACAATTTTTTGTAATTATATTATTGACACATAGGTAATTGGCATAAACATAGGGCTTTTAGGGTTAAAAATGTCTTCTAACTTTAGAAAAATCAGAGAACACCTCTGTTAACATGTTTAACAAACCTCTAAATTTCAAGCTGAGATGATCAATATTTAAATTTATATGATTTAATGTTGTTCTCGATGTTTTAATTAATTTAAAGCAAAATAATAAATAAATGTCTTCAAAATTTGATCCATAATGTTCTCCTCTTTTTACTGAGAATAGAGGTATATTTGTTTTATTTTTATGAATTTTCTAAACCAAGATATGATTTTTCAAAGTTTAAATAAATTTTTGGAGTTAATTAAATAAAAAAAACCTGCTTAACCTGAAAGCCATCCACACAAAAATGCTAAGATCTCTCTAGATTCTTAATGAAATTGAACGCAGTTTATTCCTACACCATCATCCAAACAAGATGCTCCTATCCAAGTGACTAAGTGGACTTGAAATGTTCATTTCTTTTGTCAAAATAAAAGAAAATGAGACAATAAGAAGAGTTTCAAAGTTATACCATAGCCCAAGAGATGAGCCCTCGATTGGGTAGTTGTAGGAGCTTTTAGAAGGCTTGGATTTGTGTTCGACCGAAGTGGATTTCGGTGGAGGAGTTGGGACTCTTGCTTCGTGGAGAGAAGGAGCCACCTATCCTCTGAACTTTTTTTTTAGAGAGCTACCTATGATTATTTTGTATGTCTAAACTTCAAAAGAAACATTACGGGACATTGGGCGGAAGGAGTAAATTCCATTCATGATTCATGCTCAAGTAGAAAGTCATAACACCAAATTAAATTCAATTAGGACAAGATCGAGGGATTAATTTTGAATTTGAAAATTTAATTATAGACCGAAGTGTTATTGTGTGCGATCTGGTGTTATTCAACATGTTATTGAGGTTGTATTGCTAAGTTATCGCGGTTCCGTGACAACCGGTGTTGTTCATAATGTTATTCGGGTTGTACCAAGGTGTTATTGTGGTTCCACGAAATCAGTATTATTCACGGTGTTATTCAGGTTGTAATAAGCCGTTATCGTGGTTCCACAGAATCAGTATTATTTACGGTGTTATTCGGGTTGTACTTAGTATTGAAAATAGGCATTATTGGCGCGTGGAAAAAATAAAATAGGTGTTATGATGCTCAAAATTGAAAAATCAGTGTTTTTGCGTGTGATAATATTGTGGTGTTATTACAGAGTCTTGCCGCAAAAAGGTGGTGTTATTGCGGGGTTTTTTGCGGTGGCGTTATTGCGGTGGTTTTTTGGTTGTATTGTGGTGTTATTGGCCCAGGTTTAGCCCAAATCTAGCCCAAACCTATCCTAAACCCCATTTTTGCTTCAATTCAGCTCAGGCTCACATGGCATAGTACAATTGGTGGGTTGGAGAGCTTTCAAAAATTATTATTATGGATTTTAGACTTTGAGTTTTGGCAAGATTGGACTTGGAACATGGGTTCAAATGGGCTTGAGGTGAATTCGGGTTTGAAATTGATAGAATTGGATTTTGAGCTAGAAATTGGTTATATTGGGTTGATTTCTGAATTTGGTGGAATTGAATGTGGAATTGAATTTGGGTTTGGGCAATTTTAGATTTGGGATTGAAATTTGGTAGAGTTGGATTGGATTTTGGATTATGATGGGGTTGAGATGTGAATTTGAATTTAGGGTCCATGGGACTTGGTCTTGGAGTTGGATTTGAAGTTTGGATTTGATTTTAATAATTTTGAGAAATTTAGGGTAGACTTGGGGCAAATTTTGTGAAGGGGAGTGAAGTATAAGTGAAGTGTGAAGTGGAGTGAGTGTGAGGCGCCTAAGCCACATAAGGTCAAAATGGGTGTTCATAAGGCTTCATGCTTCTGTGGGAACTCATTTTTTGAGTCTTCAATATGTCGGTCTCAATCAACTCAATCAAGCATTAAGGATTTACATGTAAGACTTTTAAAAAAGAGCCAAGAAATGATTTGAAATTTTAAGTGGAGTGAGTATCATTACTAGGCTTCTAGGATAGTCAATAAAAAGGTCCTATGACTAGATCCTAATTCATAAGAGGAAGACTAGACCTCACACAAAAATGAGGTCAACAACTGCACATAGTTTTTAAAAAGCACACTTATTTCAATAAATAAATTAAGTACTTCGGTCGACAAACAACTAAAAGTGATTGGCTTCAAATTTTGAAGAAAAATATGTTAGTTGTGACTTTTCATTCCCAAGCACTTAGAGAAAAAGATAGACCTCTTTTAAAAATGAGGTCAATAGTCTAGCGATATTAAAAATTATGTTAAGAGCTACTGAGATGGGAATGCATAAGTGGAAGAGTGGCTTTCACTTGGAGACCAATTGCAAAACAAATATATTCGTGAAAGGGTTAGAGTGGGTCCAGTGATAAATAAGATTAAATAAGATTAGACAAGCGTCAATACCTTAGACTTCGTTAACAAAAACTGGTAAGGTACATTTTTATACATTGTAAACACCCACTTAATCTTGCCATTCAAGAATGTTCTTAAGAATATGTAAATATGTAATAAAACATTCAGAAAAGGCGAAAACTCCTAAAAAGATAACTACATGAAGGAAGCCAATTGGAATTCCAAAATGAGAATTCTTTTAAAATAATATGTAGGAGCTTATATCGAAAGACATCATGAGGAATACTAATGAAGCAAGGCTATGTCAATTTTGCATTCATTATACAAGAATAATGATTAGGATAGGTTGTCAATTTTTTTTAGCATGGTTATGGCAATAGAAGAGAGAGAGACACTATCTCCAAGTGAGTTGGGTTGTTTTCTCAATAATCAAGTTTTGATTTTGGGGCATTTACAAACATTATCAAATTGGGTTAGCAAGTCATGTTTGAGTTTGATTCAAAATTGACCTGACTTGAAATTGTTTGATCCGAACCCGGCCTAACTTCAACCTATCGACCCAAAAACGACACATATAACACGTTTAATATAAGACATAATAGCTATTTAGATCAATTCAGGTGAAAGTGGGGTCGACTTTGAGTCAATCTCGAGTTATATATTGGTTGATAGATCGATTTCGTGCCAATTTTGAGTTAACTGGTCAGTTTCAGGTTGGCGGGTTAACCCAAAACAACCTAAAAAGAAATAAACGAGACAAGATTCATAACCCAAATGTACGCCAAAAGTTATATTGGCAACACAAAACAAATTTTTTTAGTTGAGTTTGGGCCCAATTGGTTCGTCAGATCAATTTTTGACACCCCATGAGACATATCACTCAATTCCTATGTATTTGTATATTTAACACCTAAATTTTACTTTATATATTTACACCATACTGATTAGTCGATGAACATAACAAAAAACAATAAATGATGGGGATCAATACTAGAATTTATGAAGGATTTAAGCTAAATGCCTTTGTAAATCCCGAGTTCTCATATATCCCAAAATGTCATTGATTTCGACAGATTCAGGATTTACTAAATCCTGTGAATCAGTGGATTTAGTAAATCTTGGACAAGCGAAGAAGAAGAATGGCACAAACAAGCTTACCTTCCTCAATTGTTTCTAGTAAGAGTGGAGATGAAGGATGAGAAGGATGAGATTTTGGTGGCCACTGTAAGCTGCAATCCATTCGTTGTCTTCCCAGCTAGCTCTAATGACAACTGTATCACGGGGAGGAGTCAGATAAGCGAGTGTTTTGGGAGTTTGGGCGAAATTGAGAGGGAGGAGGAATAATGTGAGAGTTTCGAGTGTGTTGGTGAAAGGGCGAATTGGGATTTTAGATGTCGATTCACAAATAGGATTTTTCTGATGGCTTAGCCATTGTTTCATAACCATCAATTTATAATAACATCATAATTGACGTTACAAACCGTCAGTTATCATCTAAAGCTTAGTTCTTGACCAAAAGAAAAGTGACTCCATTAATTATCGACGACATGTGGCCGTCTATTTAATTTAGAGATGAACCGACAATATACAATATCAATCTAATAATATTTTTATCATACCTCCAATCGTGCTAAAGATTTTCTATATGTTCAATCATATAAAGCTTCAAATGTATAGAATATTTAAATAATTATTGTCATTACATGTAAATCAAATCAATGGATTGCAATCATCCTATTTCCCTACCGCGTGCGCCGTTCAATAAAAAAAAAAGATATTTAAAAAAAAAAAAAATTAAAAGTGAGTCCACTGACATACACTTTTTGGTAAATTCAATGAAAAAAAAAGATATTTTTTTTAAAAAAAAATTTAAAAGTGAGTCCACTGACATACACTTTTTGGTAAAGGAGAAGTTTTTATTGGCCCACAGCACGCATCTCCGCACACATCTCTGCGTGCGATGGGCAGACGCAATAATTTCACCGTTGAATAATTTGAACTTTTCTTGTGAGATTTCTTTATCCACTTATTTGTGTTTTCTATTCCTTCATTAAAAGTCACTTAGCATTATAAATCCATTTTATTAATTCCGAACCAATGTTGTTCAACCAAATATAAAATGAGGCTTAAAAAACAAAAATTGTCGGCATGTCAAAATTAAACAAGCAATTACCATCACTAAAATAAAATCTTATGTTTGACCAAGGCCCATTGCCCAACACAAACCTTCCAAAGGTAACGTCACCATTTACTTAAACAGAAATTCCGGAACATCGTAACACAGTTCTCGAATCAAACCGTCCCAGCTTCTGAATCCGAAGCGAAGAGATCGATAAATCGATCGATCGACGAATTTCTCAGAAAGCAAATGGCTTGATTCTGATCTCCATTCCTTCGGATGAAGTGCAAGAAGCATCCCTACGAGGCCGGCGACGGCGTCTGCGCATCCTGTCTCCGTGAACGTCTCTACGCCCTCATTGCCGCCCAGAACAAGCTCTCACCCCCCGCCGGCGTACCCGATCCTCGACCTTCTCCGCTCAATCGTCATCTCCCCTTCCCGAGATCCGCTTCCCCATGTTTCTCCCACCGCAGATCGCTTGGCTCCGAGGCCTCTGCTTTCAACCGCTTCTTCAGCACTCCTACCAATGGTAATCTCACCCGCCCAAAACATTCTTCTCTCTTGCCTTCCATCTTCGGTCGTTCCAGATCTGAGTCGTGGGAATCCCGATCGCCCTTTTCGTGGCTCTCCGCCCTAATGCGGAGGAAGAAATCGGGAAAATCGTTGGAGGCCGTCGGTTTGCATCTGCCGTTGGAACGGGGAATGTCACTGGTGAGGGATCGGGAGGAAGATCACGGAGAAGTTTCGGGATACTCTTCCGATTTTTCCGCCGTTGGGGGGATGCCGGGACCAACCCCGATTCGGAAGCCGGGCCCCCGGCGGGGTAAGGGGGATCTCTGGCTTCGCGGTTTGCCTGAACCCGTTGGTTCGGTCGAACCCGAATCCCCGGCGGGCTGATGCTGTGAACGATCAGATTCGCCGCCGCCACGTGTCTTTTGAAGACGACCGGTCGGCCAGAGTTAATCGATCGAGGAAGTTAGCCGACTTCGGACGGTTTAAATGACGCTTTTGCCCTCATTTTTTTTTAATTTTTATTTTTAAATATGAAAATATTATTATTGTATAGACACGGAGCTGGGGAGAGCTGCACCAATTAAATGGCTTTTAATATACTGATGGTGGGATTGAGAAATTGTCAGACGAAAATTCAGAGAATTTTATAGTTTTCATTGCAATTATTAATTTTGCCACAATTCAAATAAATGAATATTGTTTTTAATTTAAGATTTTTTTTTTTTGCACCTACATATTTGCTGAAAAATAAAATAATTATTTTCATGAAAAAAAAATAAGTATTAAAGGCCTGTTTGGGGTAGCTTGTACGTTTCAGGATAAGCAGCTTATTTTGAAACAAGACCAGCGGGTCGACTCGATAACACGGCCAGCGGGTTGACCCGCGGTCTGCGATGTTTTTAATTTAAGAGTTTTTTTTTTTTGTGCACCTACATATTTGCTGAAAAATAAAATAATTATTTTCATGAAAAAAAAAAAATAAGTATTAAAGGTCTGTTTTGGGGTAGCTTGTGCGTTTCAGGATAAGGAGCCTATTTTGAAACAAGGCCAGCGGGTCGACCCGATAACACGGCCAGCGGGTTGACCCGCGGTCTGCGGTTAGGGTAAAAAACTCAAACGCGGGTAAAAAACTCAAACGCGGTAGACAGCGTTTGAAAAAACACGCAAACCAAACAGTTAGGCTGCATTTTCAAAAACGCAGCCGCACTTATAAGTTGCCCCAAACGGGCCCTAAGTGTTGAGTTCAATAGCCTATTTTATCAAATAAATAATACAAATATATGAATATTAGTAGTGTTTTTATTTTTTTAATTTTTATTTTTGAAACAAATGAGTTAAATAACTTATGCTAATAATTTTTTGGGACATTTACATGCAGACCACACAATTCTTATGTGTTTAGGTATTTAACATGTATACTTTCATGTTTACATACAAAACTCAAATATTTGACATCATATTAAAAATGTTATCATCACTGACTTTTAAAAATGAAGTACACTTTTTAATTGATAGATTTTTAATATCAAAGTTCTATAAATATAAAAAATTAAAATTTAAGTGCTAGGTATATAAATGCATAAGAAATGAGTGATATTTATGTACTTGCTTATTTAACAAACAATTTAACATGAGATGTTCTCTCATAATCTTTGTGGATGATGATATTCCTAAAAATGTGATTG